AAGGAGTAGGACTCCTCCTGGCGCGCCACACCTTGGCCGGCCGGCCCCCCTCCCTTGAACCTTTATATACGGAGGCAGGGGCACCCCTAGAGACACAAGTTGATCCACGTGATCATATTCTTAGCCGTGTGCGGTGCCCCCTTCCACCATAGTCCTCGATAATATTGTAGCGGTGCTTAGGCGAAGCCCTGCGACAGTAGTACATCAAGATCGTCACCACGCCGTCGTGCTGACGGAACTCTTCCCCGACACTTTGCTGGATCGGAGTCCGGGGATCGTCATCGAGCTGAACGTGTGCTAGAACTCGGAGGTGCCGTAGTTTTGGTGCTTGATCGGTCGGGCCGTGGAGACGTACGACTACATCAACCAAACGCTTCCGTTGTCGATCTACAAGGGTACGTAGATCACACTCTCCCCCTCTCGTTGCTATGCATCACCATGATCTTGCGTGTGTGTAGGAAATTTTTTGAAATTACTACGAAACCCAACATTGGCTTTTTCGGAGCAGCTTGCTTTTATGGAGCAGCTGGCTGTTTGGGGGTAGCTGGCTTTTTGGGAGCACGCGACTGTTTGTGAGCACGCGGGTGTTTGGGAGCAGCTGGCTGTTTTGGAGCCCTCTTTGCATTGGGTGCCTCCAATGTAACAACCTCAGCTAACAGAAATGATTTCTTGGCCTCAAAGTCCCAATGATTGCTAATAAAGTGGGAATTCAGTTGCTGACCATTAAGTACAAGATCAATTATGCTCTCGACGGTGTCTAATGCAGACAATCGCACCTCCTGGCCTATCCCCATTTTGATATGTTCTACCACAGCTTCATTGAAGCTAACCCATGACATACCAGAAATGTTGAAATCAAACACAACATCATGCTTGTCAACAACTTGCTCGCTTCCATCATCAAGCTTGTAGACATAATGAGCTACTCTAATAGTTAATGTGAACACCAACGGCGGCGGAGGCGGCCTACTCGACAATGACCAATAACGAACAATATACGATGGAGTTAGTGTACATTCGCTAATGTGCATTCAGATGAGCACCAAAAAGAAGCTACTTTGCTTTCTCACCTCAGCTCCGAAACAAACAAAAGAGGAAAGTCGAAGCCATCTGCAACAACATGCTCACCCGTCTTCGGTTCAGCCATCTCCAACACCTAGCTCATCTGCAACAACAAGCAAACAAACAATCATGAGGCTCCAGCAGCAAGCAAGCAATCATGAGATCTCCACGAGCAGCGGCTGCTCCCCGGCGGCCCGCCACGCACGACCAAGTGCAACAGCAGTGGCGGCGCGCACGGGCACGCAGGCGACGGGGACGCACGGGCAAGTGGTGGCTGGAGCGGCGGCGCACAAGAAGGTGGTTGCCGGCGGCGGAGCAAAACGCGAGGGGCGGCGGCGGCGACTAGTCACCCTAACCCTATGTGGCCGGGGAGAGGAGCAGGAGAGAGAGACTCACCTCCTGGCCGGGATGTAGCCGCCGCCGTCGAGTACCACCAGGGCTGCCGTCGTTGATGACCAATGGCGGCGAGTCACATCCAGTAGCCGCCGCCGTCTCCTGTGCGAGAGAAGGGGATGAGAACGAGGCGAGAACGACGACCGACGAGCGATTCCTGGTCAATCAATTGGCAAGGGTGTTTTGGTCTTTGTTTGCGGGACCCACTTGCCAGCGGGCAAATTAGCAAAGTGACAGGTAAAGGGTGTCATCGGATCAATTACAAAGTAACGGAGGGCAAATCATCAAACTACAAAATAAGCGGTGGCAAATAATCAAATTCCCCTGGTAAAATGTAGAGGGAAAAAGTCGGAAAAGAAAAAAGGAAATGTTTCCCGCTTTAGTATAGGTAGTTAGACAGTTTTAATTGAGAATTTGTTAAAAAAAAGCTAAAAATCATATGTACTGTTCAATGGTACTGTTTTTTAACACAGTACAGACGCAAGTGCTTATACACACATGCATACACTCACCCTATAAATGCACACACGCACAGTCTAGCCCTATGAGCACCTTCGAGAGACTGAGCCGGCATATTATGTTGAGATTTACGAAGTCACCGTAGGCGCCTCGTCGACGTGAACGTCTCCTCTCACTGAAAGCGCATCGCCGGAAATCCTGAAATAAATACAGGAATAATGCAAGCACCAGGAACCCTGGTGGGCTGGGAATACCACAATCTCTCTAACCATCCAACCACAGGTTGGTTCGCAACGGTAGCTACTTTTACGACATACTCAATGGTCGTGCTTCTCTTCCCCATCCCTCCACATCCAGTACCTCAATCCTCGAGATGAGGGCGACGGCCACCGGTGGCGCCCAGCTAGTCCGGTGCGTCGGTCCAATTTTCTCAAGTAGAAAAACTAGATGAAAAAACAGAAAAAAAAATAAACCGCTGACATGGCAAGTACACTCACCAAAGAGAAAAAGATGGGGGTAATTTCTGACACAAATTTTGCTAAATTGAGAATTTTTACAAGTAGTCACAAACGTGAAATTATGGGGTAAAAGTGAAATTCACTCTTTCCGTAGAAAAAAAGTGAAATTCACTCTTAGTTTTATCAATCCCTATAATTGACACGGAATGCATAATGCAAAGATTGTCCTATCAATCATTGTATATGTCCTTAACTCTATCACAGGTCTTCAATATATTTTACCTTGATAGGCAATTAATTATAGAATTTTCTAAATAAATGTATCATGTTATGCAATGTTTATTCGAAAAACTTTTGATCTATTTATCAAATCATTACAAACAACAAACAAATCGCCTAGCGACAATTACAAGCACTAGAGCACTATGCCATTATCATCCCTCTCTCGCCGGAGCCGAACAAATCTTGTTGTAGTACACAGTCGAGAAAGTCATCGTACTAAGGCCCCACATATTCAGCGCACGAGATTTAATTTAATCCATTTGTCTATGTGTATTGAGCACCTCGTTTGCATGCAGGCACGGGTTCGTGTGTTATGCAGACGCCGCCCTAATTGAGAACGACCAATAATACTCTAGAAATATATGATTTTGGGAAAGATCTTATGCACCCGGGCAAGGAGTACGTACAAGATCTTTTTGGTGGGGGGAGGGGGGGGGGATTTTCAGAATAAATATACAATTATTTTTACATTTATGATCTGAGAAACAAGGAAGATTCACATAGTTTGGGAATACGACGTTAATGTGTTGGCATAAGTTGTTCACGATTAATGATTATGATCTCACTAATTAATGTATATCTTTTTTCTTAGAAACTACTGTAATTATATTGCATTAATTAACGTATATACTCCGTCTATATTTACAATGAGGCGAGAGGAGGTCGTGCTCATTGCCTCACACTTTCATTTAACTCTCATATAGAACATTTGATCCAGCAAGAAGCAAGGCTCAAATATGAAGGGGAGCGGCTTGGTGTTCATGGTTACTCTTTTGTCCATCGGCTACCTTGCAGTGACCGGACGGTGTAAGAAACTAAAGCTCTTTAAGCACATTTCTGTTTACTTATTTTTGATTGAAAGGGTTTTCCCCAGCCCCAATGTATATTTGCGCACAATTATACATCAGGTTGCACTAACAAGCACCTATTGTTTGTTTGCAAATAATATACAGGTGACCTCGGGGATGAAAGGAGCGCCAGTGCAAGTGCTAATGCTCCTGCATTACACTCGTCATCAGATGAGAGCAAGCTTAGCGTGAGATTTTGTCTGGTTAGGGATTGTAAAACCAAAGCTGAGACCTGGACTGAGGCATGCTACTGCTGCCTTGTGCTGTCCGATATGCCATGTTGGCATAAGCTATACGAGTGTCAAGCAAACTGCCCGGCGTGCCACCCCAAGTGCTAGCTAGGGAGCCTCAACCGGCCGGCGCTGGATCTAGAATTGCCCTATTTGAATAAAAAGATGGTTATGGTTAACTGCTGTTTTGCTAGAATTAGTTTCTTTTTGGAAAAGCCCCCGGCCTCTGCATCGGAATGATGCATGCAGCCATCTTATTAAAAGGTATCAAAGTATCACAAAGTCATAAAATTATTACAGCTCGCAAGCGTAGCAAAAAGTAAAAAAAAAAGGTGTATGCTCAATATCGCAACTGGTATGACAATGTAAAGGACGGGCTTCCTAGACTCCTATCATGTTATGCGATCGCCATCCGAACCGGTTGAATATAACCCGTGCTACCATCTCCCACCGGTTGCACCCAGTAACCAAAGGCCTCCTAGAGTCCATAAGAGTGAGTATATTGTCTATTAAAAATCATATCATTCATGCAATTCAATATAGCCCATATAAGCGCACATATTTCAATCCGAATATGAGCCGCAGTAGTATGATTAACCCAAACTAACCACGTCCCAAATAACAATTCAATGTTAATTGGAGGAGTAATGTTAAAGGCTATATGGATCGTTCTTCAAAGCAATTTTGTGAGTGGGCATTCTATACAAGTGTTGTATTGTTTCACCCTGATCACAAAAACAACAACGGAAACTACCTACCCATCGCCTCTTTACTAAGTTATCTTTGGTGAGAATCACTTGCTTGTGTACGAATCACATAAATCTATATCTATACCTAATATTAAAGGATGGAGACTTTCATAGTTCTTCATATTCGTCATCCCATTATATCCGTCGATTTTATGTCAAGCTTAAAGATTAACGGTTGAGATTTAAAAGGAGAAATTTTATACCTTTACCTGCCCGTATAAGTGGAAATCTATTTTTTTTCTATCGTCCATGCTCTAGCCTACGCAGATTTTTTTTGTCCATGCTCTAGCCAATACGAAAAAACTATTAATTCCAGGATTCGAACCGTGGTTATTTACAAAGAGCTTATGCCCGCTTGCCAACTCAACTATGTAATCTTTCCTGTTCACACACAATGGAAGAACCCTTTATTTGTTCTCCGTACGCCAGCCTTTCCGAGCCTCACAGATGTCTAATAGGCTTTCATCACCTGGGCGCAAAAAAACTGTACGTGCGTGGGGGTTCTGCTTATATTCTTTAAAAGACAAAGGTTAGTCCATCTTTTAAATAGTCCCACCTCGCTCTTATACACGAAATTTCACCGGTTTTTATATGGGATGTGTGTGCATAAAAATAACGCAAACCAATTACCAGGGACGTGAGTGGGGCTATGCGCACATTGTGGCCATTGATTTGCATGCAATGATAAGGCTGGTCACAGTGGGGAGGAACTTAGGAGTAACATCACACACTTCAATACAACTTTGCTTATGTGGCACGTATTTAATGAAGAGAGAGGTGCTTGTGGTAACTAGCTAAGTTACCGGAACATCACACACTCCAAGAAACAATGAGTCTATAACCTAATAAATACATCGTTGCATGACACTACATAGATGTTCCTACTCACTATGAAGGTAGTAACATAGTCTAGAGAAGTGTGAAGTTACTAGCTTATGTTCTTACCCATTGTGACCAGCCTAAGACTACCCACAGTGAGAGTAATATAGGTAGTAACATCACATATATCTAGATTAAATAGATGATGTGGCATATGCAATAAATGAAGAAAGATATGAAAGTGGTAACATAGCTAGTTACTACTAGTATGAGTAACATCACACATATCAATATGTCTATAGCCTAATAAATGAAGTGCTCCGTATTACCACACATAGCGCAAAGGAGTTGCTCGGGTCCTCCCATAGTGTCCTTGAAGTGGTGTCGGATGATTGTACGGACTCTGTGAATGTGTAATATAAGTCTTTTAGCCCGCAAAAAAAATATCAAGGAAGGTCACAGGGGCTGAAACACATGTACCAAAAATAATAATGGTCGCTTTTGTGTTGGTTTTATAAAAATTGTCATTATTATTTTCTTGCTACTATCACTATAGCCGCGCAAAAAATTGCCTCGCAATTGATGCATGTGGAGGTAGTAGTTGGCAAAGTCTTCAAATTTAGAGAGCTAACCAAAATAGTTGGCACACATTTATGCTGTGAAAAAGCTTAATTTTCTATAGTCACATTATAATTCAGCGGCCCGATATATTTTTGTAGAAGGTACTAATTAAGCATTCATGTCGTCACTAATTATGTTTGTGACTTAATGTTAATTGCAATTATATAATGTTTCAATACAACCGGTGCCTCCACCAAGTCTTTGGGTCGGCATAGAATATCCCATCGTGCAAGACGGTACTTCTTCTTGGCCTCATCTGACTGCCAGAAGAATCGAGATCGAAAGAAATCAAGTCTCTTCCGCACCCCTTTCGGTACCTCGAAGAAAGATAGTAGGAACATCGGCATACTAGTAAGTACTGAGTTGATTAACACTAACCGACCTTCATAAGACATTAGTTTGCCCTTCCAGCAACTAAGATTTTTTTCAATTCGATCTTCAATGCACTTTCATTCTTTATTAGAAAGCTTACGGTGATGAATCGGTATGCCCAAATAACTGAAATGCAAAGAACCTAATTCGCACCCAAACAATTGCTAGAATTAGTTGAATGCCCGTGTTCTCTCAAGGTACATTTGTACATCGAGGAGAACTAATGAAGGCACAAGACATGCCCAGGTTGGCTCTGGTACGGACTGGCAATAACAACGCGTCGACATCTTGTTCTGATGACGGTAATGGTCATTTGGTGGTCCGGTAGGGAGCGATGATAACGACGCGATGATGGCCTGTTCTGGCGGCAGTAGTGGTCATTTCTTCCCCAGAGATCTTGATATAATTTGCATCATGTTTGAGATGTTGTGTATTTCTAATGAAATTTTATAATAGATTCCAGTGCTTTTCGTAGAAAAAAATGAAAACAAAGGAGCATGGACGGATAGACACGTCTAGCGGGCACTTAAGTGACCCAGATCCTATTCCGCGCCTTAAGCACCAGTCACAGGCTATTTCACTAACCGGCGCACACCCCCTCCACCCTGAGCCCGCGGTATATTTACACTCTTTTTTAACCCTCGAAAAATTGGTGTACGCAACATGAAACTCGAACTCTTGACCTCAGGGTTTACCACCACCCACAGTAAGCAATTGGGAAACTTATTAAGGGCTCTTTGATTCAAAGGAATTCCGTGGGATTTTTGGAGGCTTAGAATCCTTCGGGTTTTTTCCTATGTTTGTCGTTTGATTCACAGGATCGAATTCTATAGGATTTTTTTCCTATGGAATCAAGTGTATTACATTTCATTGGAAATCTAGCATCCACACCAACCACTTTTTTTAATTCCTTTGTTTTCTCTGTAGCATGATACACTCTATGCTAATCCTGTAGAATTCAAGTGAACATGCCACTCAAATCTTGTATTTTCCTTATTTCCGCGTTTTGAAAATCCTGCAAATCAAAGAGGGCCTAACCTGTTGTGCCTTCTGTGTCCCGTGTAAGGCAGGTAGTGGCAGAATTTTTTCCTTTTTTCTGGTATTGTAAAACCAAGTTACGTTCTGTTTTAATTAGTTCTTTTTTTTTCCTTTTTCTTCAAATGCATGAACTTTTTAAAAAATTTATTATTCTTTCTCAAAATTCATGAACTTTTCTTGAATTTCTGAACTTTTTTCAACCTCGTGGACTTTTTTTAAAAACAATCGTTATTTTATTTCAAATCCGAGAACATTTTCAGTTTTTTGCTAACTTTTTTTAATGCATGAGTATTTTTTAAATCCAATAACTCTTTTCAAATTGTTCAATTTTTTTCAAAATCTGTGAACTTTTTTCAATATCCTGCACTTTGTTTCGAAATCAATAAACTTATTTCAAATACCGGAATGTTTTTGAAATTAATGAACTTTTTTCATATTTGTGAATCTTTTTGAAAATACATGAAGTTTTTCAAATCAATGGCTTTTTCTAAAACTGATGAACTTTTAAAATTTTGCAATACTCTTATCATAAAATATGTTTTTTTTTCAGATTTCGTGAACTTTTCTTAAATTTTTGTGAAGTTTTTTAGATCGCAAACCATTTTTTTGAACTCTTTGAATTTCACAAAGTTTTTTCCCATTCCCAATTTTTGTATTTTTTTGTGAATTTTTTAAAAATGTTTTTTCTTGAAAGTCCACGGTTAATGGTCCGCCAGACAAACAAATCAACCAATCAAATTGGTCTTTCAACCAACCAATTGAACAGGAGCGGCGGGGGCACGGGAGCGAACTCGCGTTGTTGGGTCGCGGCCTGCTTGGGCGCGTCTGATCGCCAGCTCTCCTTTCCGACGTTCAAGGCACGAAATAGGAGCTACCCTTAAGTGATTCAGGGCCTGTTCGGATCTTCTCCAGGTTCATGGAATAGCAAGCTTCCCGAGAAGCCAACCATCAGTACCCGTCGAAGTTGCAATATTAGGGAAGCATCACAACAGCTACTTCGTGTATGGCAGCGAGGAAAGGGTCGCATTCGAGTGGAGTACTTCTTTCACGAATGGCTGGGATGGGTTTTGGATTGTCCATGCCCAGGCCTACATCCTCCTCTCGACCCCTCCTTCATTCCAATTACTCAGCTGATCTTCCAGCCGTACTCTAGGTTATCCCACGCGGATGCTTCAGCACTCACTATGCCCGAAGATCAATTCCAACGTCTGGCTAGAATTAAAAAAAAACGTTTGGCTGGAGTAAGAAATGAATGTCTTTTTTTAATGGTCAACGGGGGAGTGAATGCCCACCTACATATTTTTCACTTATTTTTTACGTATAAAGCCTTGCGGGCCCTGACAACATAGGCTCAAGTAATACAAACCATACAGGAAATACCAGAGAGAAGACACACAAACAAAAAACATTCGCACATACAACCACAAACCCAATGGGCTTCAGGGGCGACCAAAAAGAATGTTTTTGGGCCGTTTTAACTGCATGTATGGGGTAATCAAGGGTGTGTTT